CTCAAAAAAAAAAAAAAAAAAATGTGAATTAGAGAGAGAAAGAGAAGGGTGGAAGAAGATTCATCTCCCTAAGGTGGGGGAGGGGACCGAAGCCAGGAGGCATGATGACAGCTCAAAGAGTCTAGCAAGGAAATGGCCTATTATCCTTATTTCTTTAGAAAAGGAAAAGAAGTTCAGATAGGTTAAATAACTTAACCTAAAGTCACATGGGTGGAAGTGGGATTCAAACAGAAGTCATCTGAGACCAGAGTCTGTACTCCTGATTGCTGTGTTTTGCACATTGTATGCATTTCCTATAACAACACAAACTGGGTGGTTGAAAACTACAGAAATTTATTGTCTTGCAGTTTTGGAGACTAGAAATTCAAAATTGAGTGAGTCAGGAGGATCATGATCCCTGTCAAGGTTCTAGGGCAGAATCCCTTCTTGCCTCTTCTTAGCTTTTGGTGGCTCCTGTTATTCTCCTTCCTTGGCTTGTAGTTAGTTAGTCTCTGCCTTAGTGATTACATAGCCTTCTTATGCGTCTCCAAGTCTTCTCATAAGGATATGAATCAGTTGGATTTAGCACTCACCCTAAACTAGAATGACTTCCCTTTTATTTTTTGGTTTTTTGTTTTTGTTTTGTTTTTTTTGTTTTTTTGAGTTGGAGTCTCACTCTGTCACCCAGACTGGAGAGCAGTGGCCGCTCCCGGCCACTGAAGCCTCAACCTGCTGGGCTCCGGCGATCCTTCCGTCTCAGCCTTCCAAGTAGCTGGAACTACAGGTGCGTGCTACCACACCCGGCTAATTTTTTTGACTTATTGTAGAGATGAGGTCTTGCCAAGTTGCCCAGGCGGGTCTCAAACTCGCGGGCTCAGGCAATCCTCTCACCTTAGCCTCCCAAGGCACGGAATTACAGGCTGAGCCACCGAGCCCAGCTCCCTTTTGTTTTTTGAGTTAGAGTCTCACTCCGTCACCCAGGCTGGAGGGCAGTGGCTTGCTCACGGCCACCCCAGCGTCAACCTGCTGGGCTCCAGCGATCCTTCCGTCTCAGCCTTCCAAGTAGCTGGAACTACAGGCATGCAGTACCACGCCTAGCTAGTTTTTGTGATTTATTGTAGAGATGAGGTCTCACCTTGGTGCCCAGTCTGGTCTCCAACCTGTGGACTCAGACAGTCTTCTCATCTCAGCCCCCTAAAGTGCTGGGATTACATGCTTGAGCCACTGTGCCCAGCCAACCTCTTTTTAATGATTATATTTTCTTTTTTTTTGAGTTGGAGTCTTACTCTGTCGCCCAGACTGGAGCGCAGTGGCCGCTCCCGGCCACCGCAGCCTCGACCTGCTGGGCTCTGGCGATCCTTCCACCTCAGCCTTCTGAGTAGTTGGAATTACAGGCACGCGCTACCACACCCGGCTGATTTTTTGATTTATTGTAGAGATGAGGTCTCGCTGCCCAGATAGGTCTCGAACCCGCGGGCTCAGGTTATCCACTCACCTCAGCCTCCCAAAGCCGTGGGATTACAGGCTGAGCCACCAAGCCCAGCTAGCTTTTTTTTTTTTTTAATTTAGAAAGCAGGATTGGTGACAGAGGAGACTCCAACTTTAAAAAAAAAAAAAGAGGAAAGAAAGCAGGATTTATTGAGAGGACAGGAAAGCTCCCACAGTGGGAGGGGACCTGAAGGGTTTGCCCTGAACCAGTTGTTGACATAAACGCAGTATTGAACATTCTTGTAGCTAAATCTTTGCTGCATTTTTAATTATTTCCTTATAATGTATTCCTAGAATTAGATTGCCAGGCTAAGGATTGCTAGACTAAAGATAAACATAGCTTTTAATGCTCTTAGTACTACTTAATTGCCAAATTGTCTTTCTTGCCTGTAATGAGTGTGTCTCTGACACTTTATCAATGCAGTACATTGAAATTGGTTTTTTTCAGTTTTACAGGCTAAAAAAATATTATTTTAATTTGTATCTTGTCATTTTTTTTTTTTTTTTGAGTTGGAGTCTCACTCTGTCATCCAGACTGGAGTGCAGTGGCCACTCCCGGCCACCACAGCCTCGACCTGCTGGGCTCCGGCGATCCTTCCGCCTCAGCCTTCCAAGTAGCTGGAACTATAGGCGTGTGCTACAACGCCCGGCTAATTTTTTGATTTATTGTAGAGATGAGGTCTCGCCAAGTTGGCGATCCACTCAGGCAATCCACTCACCTCAGCCTCCCAAAGTGCTGGGATTACAGGCTGAGCCACTGAGCCCGGCTTGTATCTTGTCATTTTTAATGAGTACTTTCATGTGCTAAAAGTCCATTGTATTCCTTTTATGAATTGACTGAACTTGCTCTTTGTCTATTTTCCATAAAGAGGTTTACCTTTTTGGTAAATGAAATTACTTCTCCCTCCATTGTACAAGTTATGATGCTGAATGTAAATGTAAAATACCAGCAAATTTATGTCTAAGCAAGACAGTAAAGCTACTTATAATACTAAAATTTAATCACTGCTGTCAGTTTGTGTTCATATATGAATATATACTGATATTCATATGTATATCACATATTTAAAATTTGAATATAATTATATGCATATTGCTTTATAGCCTACTTTTAAATTTAAATATATTGCAGTTATCTTTTCATATCTATTTTTCATGAATCCTAGTATTTCATTATTTGAGTATTATATAACTTATTCAAGCAGTTACTTATTGATTCTCTTCAGTTTTCCATTGTTAAAAATATATTCACAGCCAGGCTCAGTGGCTCAGCCTGTAATCCCGCGCCCTGGGAGGCTGAGGTGAGTGGATTGCCTGAGCCCATGGGTTCGAGACCCGCCGGGGCAACTTTGCGAGACCTCATCTCTGCAATAAATAAAAAAATTAGCTGGGCGTGGTAGTGCACGCTTGTAATTCTGGCTACTTGGAAGGCTGAGGCGAAAGGATCTCCGGAGCCCAGCAGGTCAAGGCTGCAGTGGCCGGGAGCGTCCACTGCACTCCAGTCTGGGTGACAGTGAGACTCCAACTCA